AATTTTGGGACCACTTTAATATGCATGGGGAAATGCATTTTCATTTGACTCCAAAACTATTGGGGCATATTCGTAGACCAAATAAAGTCGACTCTAAGTTAAATTTTCCCAGTCCCAAATAAGAAGAAAGTTAGTTGCATCTCTTTTTTCACAGATGCCTAATCCACTGAAAGTGATGCGAAAAAGCTGTAACTAACTTTAGTGTCGGCTTTATTTTAACTATGAATATGCCCCATTATTTACAAATAATACGAGTATAGCAGTGAAAAATGAAATGCACAGTTTTTCTCAATATAAATAAATTTTCGTGTTGCTTATTGGCCGTTTAGTATAATTTAATAATTATTTTTGAGCTATAGGCCGTATGTTAAAAAAACATTATATGTTTTTCTGTTTTATTTACTTTTTGATTTTATTTTGGTCGATATTTCGCCTTCAGTCTGAAGGCATCTTCAGGAACTATTAGCTTTGTCCGGTCGACCGTTCGATGTTTTATTTAACATACGGCCTATAGCTCAAAAATAATTGTTAAATAACTTTTCGACAAAAACAACTTTGAAGTTAACTCGATCAGTGCAATCAATGCATTTGTACGTTTTTTGTCAATGTATACATCTTTGAAGTGGATTTGTGAGAAAACTAACGCAGCTAGAAAACTGCAGTTTGTTGCATTTAAAATAGCGTACCGATTACCTACCATTAGAATCGTTAAAAATATAAAAACCGATTTTCTTCGCTTTTAATGCCGACGTAAAATCATCAAACGGTGCGCATTTGCGTTTTTTGGTCAATGTGTACATCTTTAAAGTGAATTTGGGGAAAAGGCAGCTAGAAAACTGCGGTTTGTTGCGTTGAAAATAGCGTAGCATCTNAAAATAGCGTACCGATTACCTACCATTAGAATCGTTAAAAATATAAAAACCGATTTTCTTCGCTTTTAATGCCGACGTAAAATCATCAAACGGTGCGCATTTGCGTTTTTTGGTCAATGTGTACATCTTTAAAGTGAATTTGGGGAAAAGGNAGTTTATGTCCTGCATTTGTCCCGTATTCGGTGCTCTGACGCATTAACAGCTCATTAAAAAGGCATGCCTATGAACGAGTTTTTAAGTGATGTTAGTATATAATCGTAATTTTCTTTATAAACAGTTATTTTTTTTTAATCTGAATGCCTGCGACTCGAATCGAGGAATACATACAGTGGCCAAAATAGAAATTAGGACTAGACATTTTAGTAAGTTTTGGCTATTTTTCCTTAGTTTATTTAATGTTTATTACTTATTTTATTAAAATAAAGCTATTTTATTAACAAAAACAAAATACTTTTTGCAAAAACTATAAAAATTAATTCTGAAGTGTTTTACCAAAATTTAAAACTTTTTAATTAGATACTAATGTAATTTTTATTCGACCGGGCACAGAGAAGAGTTCCTGAAGATGACCTCAGATTGAGGTCGAAGTATCGACGTTAAAAATTATTGAACTTAAAACCTGTGTTTTACGTTTTCTCTGGGCCTCGAGCTTATCAAATAAAAATTACATCAGTATACAATTCAAAGGGCGATAAACAAAAACAAACTTTTTAATTAGATTCTTTAGAAACAAATTTGGTTTGCAGTTTTGTATCTTTTTAAATTTAGTATAATAAAGTGCGAGTGGAAAGTGCTGCTCATTTGCTTCTCTTCCAAAAAAAAAGTATACATACCTTGCATGAAACAAATGCGTAACACTGTCAACAAAAAAACAAATTGCCAAAAATTACCAACTTANGACATGCATTTATTTTAAATAATTAACCAATTTAACGAACAATAAAAGCGTTGTAAAAACGTAAACGGCCGTCAGCATTTCTTTAAATGCGCTTCGCCAGTTTTGTTGGTATTTGACAGTTTACACGCTGATTCGTTCTTGGTCCTTCTCTATAAATTTACGTCCTCTGAACATATTTTGGCAATTCACAATGTGTATTAAGTAGCGTATTGCCTTATGGGGGTCTATATGGCACAATTAACGGTGTATGCAAAAAAACTATCCAAACAAGTAAGAAAGTCTAAGTTCGGGCGGAGCCGAACATTAAATNTTTTTTTAATCTGAATGCCTGCGACTCGAATCGAGGAATACATACAGTGGCCAAAATAGAAATTAGGACTAGACATTTTAGTAAGTTTTGGCTATTTTTCCTTAGTTTATTTAATGTTTATTACTTATTTTATTAAAATAAAGCTATTTTATTAACAAAAACAAAATACTTTTTGCAAAAACTATAAAAATTAATTCTGAAGTGTTTTACCAAAATTTAAAACTTTTTAATTAGATACTAATGTAATTTTTATTCGACCGGGCACAGAGAAGAGTTCCTGAAGATGACCTCAGATTGAGGTCGAAGTATCGACGTTAAAAATTATTGAACTTAAAACCTGTGTTTTACGTTTTCTCTGGGCCTCGAGCTTATCAAATAAAAATTACATCAGTATACAATTCAAAGGCCGATAAACAAAAACAAACTTTTTAATTAGATTCTTTAGAAACAAATTTGGTTTGCAGTTTTGTATCTTTTTAAATTTAGTATAATAAAGTGCGAGTGGAAAGTGCTGCTCATTTGCTTCTCTTCCAAAAAAAAAGTATACATACCTTGCATGAAACAAATGCGTAACACTGTCAACAAAAAAACAAATTGCCAAAAATTACCAACTTAAAATTGCACTTTATTATACTAAAATTTAACGAATTTTTTTTTTAAATTTTACGGGGTAAAAATCTCGAGAAAATCATTCTACAAATTTGTGATGTTTCTATAAGTTTCAGGGAAAACAGTGTGGAAAAAATTTGCTAAATAATATTTTGTCCCGTATTCGGCTTTTATACATATGGTCAACGTGGTTATTGTGTACACGGACGGACGGACAGCCGGACAGACGGACGGACAGACAGACATAGCTTAATCGATTTCTTTTTTCATCCTGATTATTTATATATACATTTGTCTATATCTATCTCGATTCGTTTTGGCTGTTACAAACAACCGTTATGTGAACAAAATTAATATACCCTTGTGCACAAGTGCGCTCGGGTATAAAAACANTGGCTGTTACAAACAACCGTTATGTGAACAAAATTAACATACCCTTGTGCACAAGTGCGGTCGGGTATAAAAATGTGTCTATAACATTGATACCACAGATTTTGTAATAATTAATATGGGATAGAATTTAATTTTATTTCCTCCAGTATTTTGCTGCAAAAAAGTTTGCCTTAATTTTGCACATGCAATCTTATATATGTACTACGAATGTAACAAGACCTTTCATATATGTATATGTATCTGTAAATGCAAATAAAAACTCGATCTTAAAATATTCGATTAACCGAAAATGAACGGTTAACCGAATAATCTAAAGTGAACAGTTATCCGAATAGTCGACAGCTTTCGACTACTCGAATATTGCTAACCGATTAACAGTAGTCGACTGCAGTTAGATTCGAATAATTCGGTTAATCGATTAACCTAATTGCCCGAGCTCTACATAATATTTAGGCACTCCGGCTATAATGTCCTCGCTGCCACTGGAAGGGAACTCTCTATGATGAAGCGTTATAATGACAGATTGGCGGTTACACTTATGTTAGCGTTTGGCCGAGCTTCTCCTCCGACTTGTGGCGTACGCCTGGATGTTGTCACACAAATGGGAGGGACCTACAATTTTACGCCGACTACGAACAGCGGGTATTTTTATTAGAAATACACTCGGACGCTATTAGAAAAAACTTATTTTTTGATGTTGGGTTGAACTGGGCTTGAACCCAGGCTCTGCGGAATGGTAGCGCGCACTACTAACCACTACACCACAGCGGTCAATGAAGCGTTACCCCCCCGGAAAAAATTGATTCGACGCTCTTCTGTGAAAACTTATTTAAGTAGATCTATAAAAACAGACCATAATTGATTAACAGAAAAAGTGTTATGCTCATTATAACAACGCCTAACCACGGGCAAAAATTAGCAGCGCTTGGTTGGAAAGTTTTGACGAATCTACAGATATAACTCAGACCTTGCGCCATTTGTTTCATATCTGTTCCGGTATCTGTATAATTCCCTTAATAGTGCTGAATTTACTTCATAAAAAGCCAATTGAAATCATTTGAGTCAGCTTTTATCCCAGAAATCAGAATAATTTTTCGAGGCATTATGATTTTGCATTAAAAATGCCACAACACATATTTTCTAAACGCTGCTTTCATCTGAATTCCACTTACTGATGGTTACTAGTTCAAATTAACCTTATGCATCGGTTATTATGCACCGGACGCGACGTAACAAATCGCGGCGAATTCGTAAGGATCTATTGATTTTCGATTCTTCCGTTTTACGCTCCGTTTACGGTTTCAGCTGCTGTGGTGTAGTGGTAAGCAGTGCGCGCTTCTACTCCGCATCACCTTGAACCCTGGTCAAAGCAACATCGCAAAAAAAGAATATAGAAAAATGGTTTTTTCTTAACAGGGGTCGTCCCTCGGCAGGCAAAGGCAAACCGCCGAGTGCATTTCTGCCATGAAAAACAGCTTCTCATAAAAATACAATCGCCGTTCGGAGTCGGCGTAAAACTGTGGGTCCCTCCGCTTTGTGTGACAACATCAAGGCGCACGCCACAAATCGGAGGAGAAGCTCGGCCAAACACTTACATATGTATGTGTAAGCGCCAATCTATTATTATTGTTATTATTACGTGCATTATAATCATTTGCATTCGTTTCACATACGATATATAGTTGTTGAAAACAGAAACGTCTTAAAAGGTTGTGAATAACTAGCGACAAAATAATTATATATTTCATTTGAATTACATTTTTTCTTTGACGGTAAAATATATATTTTGTCGACATATGCTATTTTGTTTTTTCGCGAAGTTGCAGAGCCACTTAAAATCGTTTTTGTATGATTGACAATGTGCCATAACGACTCATATTACCAATTAGCTTAAAAATATTTTTGTTTTTTGTTTCAGGTTGGAAATATGCATTGCTATCAATCAAAATAGCTATCGCCAAGCTGATATGGAAATTTAGATTTACAACCACGTTTGAGTACCAGCAGTTGCATTATGTGGAAGATATAACAATTAAATTAAAAGAAACTCCACTTTTTAGAATATATGATAGAAGAGGAAAAACAAATTAAACTACAAGGACATTTTCTCAACAGCTTGAAGCTCATAGTCTAAGAACCAGTGAACAGCAGACTGTATGTAACTTACCAAAGCTAAAATTTTGTGCAGTCGAGCCCTAATATCTCCTCTACTTGGAAGGGAGGCTAACTAAGCCCGGAAGCGGTCCATACGGCGTCATGCAGGTCGCAAAGGTAGCACATTTAGACCAACTTCGAAAGTATTTTAATAAGTCTGCAATTTAAATATTTTAACATTCAATGTTACTATTATGAAATATTATTATTTTACTTATTAAAGTATTAGAAGCTTGTATTTATCAGGGCAGACATTCTGTCCGGTAATAACATCCCGGCAGACAACGAAACCTAACCTATACCCATGGGGGACACATATTAGTGCTTTACGACAGTGCGGACGCGAATTCTTTCTCGCTGATTTAAATTTCGAGTTTTGTAGTGTGTAAAGTGCTTATAAAGCAAAAATTTGCTCAAAAGTTTAGGGTTAACTTATTTGATATAGTGCTTGTGTTTTTAATGGTGTGAATCACTATCAAGGTATGTAATTTGCGTTTTATTCTATATCTTTGCTTATAAGTATATAAATACAAAATAAGCAAAGGGGATCCCTTTTGGCGCCGGCCAAACAGCTGATTTTTGACAGCAGTGAACTGTTTGCTGTGTGCAGAACTTAAAGCTTTAACCTAAGATTAAAAGCTTTAAAAAGCTATATCTTAAAGAGAGTGAAAGCTTCAGTTCAAAGCTCTAGGCTTGAGCTTCCAGCGCTCAGCTTAAAGCTCACCAAAAGGGGTCGCAAATAAAATAATGGAGAAGTGAGAAAATTTTCCAGATCCTTTTAAAAGGGGTGGCAAGATCTTGAGATCACCAGTCGCGGATGCAGATAGGTATGCGCGAATGAGTTCGTCGCCTGACGCTCCAGCACCGGAAGGAGCACGATCCTCTCCCCTAGATCTCAGCCGTGATTGCATAGAAAT